TAGTGCAATTATTTAAAAAGTTAGCATTACTCGTAGTGAAATTGATTATTTTGTTTTCCATCGGCATCAGTTTCTTGAGCAATTCAATTATCTTGTTGTTTATGTGAATGACATCGTCATTATTAGCAGTGATTGAGTATGCTTTAACATCTTGGAATACACTAGTATGCGATGGTGCAAACCCATTCATACACTCATCGTTCCCAATGTCAAACCTATACCACGACAGGGGGAGTTGGTTTTAGATCTTGGTCGTTATTGAAGGTTGGTCAGAAAATTAATTTATCTCTTATGGAACCAGAATAATAAGATCCTTCAAATTAAAGTTTGCCAACACCAGATGTAAACCAAACCATCATATTTGTATTAATATCAACAGAATTCAGAAATTACAGTGACAACAACTAGTAATAACAAACATAGAAAGAACAAGAGCAAAAATTCCACTCCAAGACAACAGCCTAGCCATGAGAGCTTCTCTATTTCCTCTCCTAATTCCCCAAATTACAAATAACAATCAACATAAAGAAATCCCACCCTAAACATCTATATATACTAATTCCTAGCTAATTGGTTTGGATACTTTTATTAAAGGCCCATCAATACTCCCCTTCCCAGATTCACCTTGTCGTCAAGGTGAAGGAAGAGACCAGGATTAAGATGAGAGAAGTTGTCACCTGGGTCCCTGTTGGGTGTGAACTTGTTGGTTGCTTAGATGTTCTTTTAAGGACATTCCCTTGACTTAGTTCATCAAGAGAAAACACATTCGTTCTCTTGATATCAACCCAGTTGCGCAAGTGCACGCATCAAGTAATAAATGAGATTATTAATGCCTAGATTATCGTTCCCACGAGGATAAAACTCTAAATAATACCTTAAACTGTTTTACAAAGAATTAATATGAAAAGAAAAGACAGTATTTGAACTGTTTGGTCATTCGTTCCCTATTATCTTGAAAACGTTCCTCAAAGATAGTAAGTTCAGTCTAACTCCAAACAACTCATCGCGTCGTTATATACCAAATCCTTCTTGGTGTGAGAAGGAACGACAAGATTCATTGGAGTTTTGATTTTATAGTCACAAGATTTATGAAAGAAAATAACTATAAGATAACAATATTTAAGATACAACAATATGGATGGATAAAAACAGTTTTTAACACAAGGAACGGATCCACTGTTTCCTTCTTAAATGGCTATATTCTCAACTTAAGACTTAACCATTCTGAATTTGTTCAGGTCTTTTCATTGCCAACTCTGATTCCTTAGCTCATGGACTTTAATGGCTCACAAATTTTCATATTCCTATGGCTCCCTTGACTCCAACAGTTACTAAGTTCAGAACCTTCAGTGAATGAGGTGGTTCCTTATTCCTAAGGCAACCAGTAGTGTGGTTTTCACAACAATACCTTCCTCCTCTGATTAAGTTGTCTGAAATCCCTTCCTTATGGAAGTTCCTTTCTTAGTTTGAGTTCAATTTTCATTGATACACAAAGAATAAAGCCCACTTAATCACAGAAATACAAAAGTTTCAGTGCAAAAGTTTTGAATATAGTTCTTTAAGAACTTCACAGCTTTTCCGTTCCACAAATAACTTAGCCCATGGCTATAACTATAAACATAATTATTCCAAACTGAAGTCCCATAGACCCGAGATTCAGTTCAAAGATAACTACTGGAAGAGAAGAGAAATAACAACTTATATTAATAAGAAACAAGATTAGGTTACAAGAAAATAAAATGGAAAAGTATGGTAGTTGCTTGTGAGGAGTCTCAAATGGAAGATATAGAATGAAGGAAGGGTTTCTCTCACTTAACTATTGCTAAAAATGATACAACTGAAAAAGTAGAAATTGAAACTATCCTAAGTGATCTCTTCTTAAGGAATTCGATGCTTTCTTCGTGTTGAAACGTCCTATTTACAGGCCAGGAGAGTGGATGGCAAAACTTGTAATTTCATTTGAGTTGTTTTCTTGACTACATGAAGGAGCGGTGTGAACAATGCTCTTTTGGGAGGCAAGTTGCTGGATGAGCCACTTATTGTTGAGATTTGCCTTTCCTTCTGCACTTCCCATGCTTGCTTTCCCTCTTTCCCAATGGTAACTCTTTATTCTCTGCTATTCACGTTTCTTCCTGCTTGATTGCTGTACCTCTTTCTGCTTTTTAGAAGCTTCTTTTCAACGTTTCCTGCAAAGTGGTCAGAGAGATTGAGTTAGTGGAGCAGGTATATTTAATGAATCAATCTGTTCCCCTTTTCTCAACGGATTACATCATCATCCGTTCCCTTCTGGTGCCTTTGTTCCTAAGTTCTAGAACTATGCTTTTGAGGCCAAAATTGGTCTCCAGGTGAAGGAACAGATGGAATTTTACCATCAAAATGAGCTTTAGATGGGAACGAATTTTCGTCCCATCAGTCCCATTTCTTGAAGCTTCTTGACCACATTAGCAGCTGCCATTCTTGAGCCACATGAATTGCCAAAAAATTCAGTGATTGTTTGGAAGATAACTCCACTACATAATGGACGCTGAGTTTGATGTGTGTCTTTTTTGTTGCCACCCTCTGCAAAATTTCTTCTTGCTCCATGTTTATCATCTCCCCCCTTGCACCTAAGAACATCACATTCAAATTCAAATTGTGGCATACATGATTTAGCGAGAATGGGTCATCGCATCAAAATCATAAGTTCCTCCGTTGTTTGTCTAGTGTCTCTTTCGTCGTTATTTTCTGGCATCGCGATGTTTGTCGTTCGTCGCCAGTGATGCTGTTGGTTGTCGCCTGCAGCGCATCTCCCCTCTCTCGGTTTCCATCTGCGACAAAGATGGTGGATCCTTGGAGGGATCCGAAGGTTCTTCCTTGTGGGGCAGATGCATTGGGCCCCCATGTCACCCCAGACCCAGTGTTTGTCCATTGTGGATTGAAGGCAACTTTTGGCCTATCCTTACTCTCCCCTGCTGTCCTAATATTTTGAGTGTTCGTGTGCTGGGCTATTAAATTTGGCCCACTACTCATTGTCCCATTAATTGTCTTCAGCCCAATTCGCAAATCCCTATTTCCTAAAACGGGTCGCCCATTAAATCAAATTCCTTTTTCTAACTCGACTCTTACATTACCTGTACCTACTGTTACCAGACTTAGATCGTTCTCCTTCTCCTCCACGTGTTGTATTAATGCCATCCTCTGCTCCAAATCATCAATGAGATGTAGGCGCTCTTTTGCCCCTATAATTTTTGGTCCATTAGACAGAATGGAAGACCCATCTTTGTCTTCTACTTCTCGATCTTTTTCTTCTTCGTCTTGTTCTATTTGTTGTTGTGGTTCTTCTTCAACCTCTGTTTCCTCTTCCTTTTCTGTAAATGCTGCATGTTTTTCTTCTTCACTGATTTCTTCTTCTACGTTTCCTTTTTCCTCTTCTGCCTCTTTTCCTTTTCTTCCTTCTTCATCTTCTCTTTTTTCCTTTTTTGCAAAGTCGTCTTCTTCTTTTATTAGAGCTTCTCACTTCTCTTCCCAAACAATTATGATTTTTTAATCTTTTGAAACAACTCAATGACCTCCGATGTGCTTGCCTTCTCCAAAGCTTTAAGATTCATTCTTATTTGTAACTTTTTTTTTTTTTTTTGGATTTGGACCAGAAAGCACCTCTTAGATCGGAAGTGCTCTGATACCAAATTGATGGAACCAGAATAATAAGATCCTTCGAATTAAAGTTTACCAACACCAGATGTAAACCAAACAGTCATATTTGTATTAATATCAACAGAATTCAGAAATTACAGTGACAAAACTAGTAATAACAAACATAAAAAGAACAAGAGGAAAAACTCCACTCCAAGACAACAACCTAGCCTTGAGAGCTTCTCTTTTCCTCTCCTAATTCCCCAAATTACAAACATAGTCAGCATAAAGAAACCCCACCCGAAATATCTATATATACTAATTTCTAACTAATGGGCTTGGATATTTTTATTAAAGGCCCATCAATCTCACAGTATTGAGACTACATATCTCCTTTCCTATGAGCATGGTAAGCCAATTTTGTAACAAAGATATATCAAAGTAGCACAAAGGAGAGGCTTACTATATCAAGATAGGGGCATACAGAGATTTGTGGTTATACAGATGTCGTTTAGGTAGGTTGTCCTCATATAGGAGCTCTACTTCAAGCTATTGAGTTCTTTTGTGGGAAACCTAATTTTGTGGAAAAGCAAGAAGCAAACTATGGGTTTTAGATTAGTGTAGAAGCTAAGTATTGAGAAATGTGAACAGCAACTTGGGAATACATTTGGTTAAAATAGTTGATCATAGAATTGAACATTTGTGATTCGCAGCCAATGAAACTAATATGTCACAATTAGGCTGTATACATCTTCAAATACTGTCTTTCATGAAAAGATTAAGCACTTTGAGATTGATTGTTACTTGGTATGAGAAAAAAATCATTGTGACGAGATCGAGACAACATTTGTGAATTCTGAAGATCAACTTACAGATATTTTAGAATATATTGTTAGAATATTTTAGAATATCGTAGCTATTTATCGTAGGATATCATATATATATATATATATACTGTAGAATCAGTTAGGATTATGTATATCAGGGATTGATTCATTGTAATTAATACCAACACTAACATATACAGACTATGTTTGGACTGACACAGACACATCATTCACCTTAGCAATAGGTGGTTTCCTAACAAAAGCAAAAGCATATATGTGATTAATCTTCGATATTCGCTTTATTGGTATTCTTCATAGTAATGCTTTTGTATGGAAGTTTGAAAGAAGTGTGTGAAGAGATTTATGGCGTCCAAGATGTCAAGTTGATGTAATACAAAACTGTATGACCATACGAAAAGTTAGATGTTATTAGATGTTTCTGGTCTCTCCAAGCTGTTGAAGTTACTGGTTTTTGAATAGGACGGTATCTGTTTGGGTTTCTTAATTCATGCTTACACCAGCATGAAGTGAAATTAATCTTATCCAACTGTCCTCTCTCAGGTCCCAGATTATGCCTTCACTTTTGAGCAAGGGAAGTCTAAGAGGTGATTTTTATCAGTTCAGTAGTATATTAGGTGATTTTCTTGTATTACATTTCGATGACTTTTAATCTATATTTGTACATATATGCAGGCCATTTGCACGGTTGTGGTGGGATGAGACGGTTGCCACTGCACTGACCTTCCCAAGTTGTCATAACCAGGTCTTATCTCAGACTTTAATTGTTTCAGAAATCACACAAATTGATTTCTTACAGATTTCAAACTCTTGTAGGCAGTACTACATCCTGAGCAGGATCGAGTCCTCACTATACGAGAATTTGCCAGGCTGCAAGGATTTCCTGATTATTATAGATTCTGTGGGACCGTGAAAGAGAGGTATGAAACCATGATTTAATAAATATAAAATATTATGTATGCATTCTGTAAAATCAGTTGCTCTGTAGGAAGCAGTCATATTTGTAGCTTCCATAGTACAACACTTTAATCATAGGCAGGTATTGAGCATAGTATTGTCATTATTTCAGGCGTTTTACCAAGTCTCTATGCAGTTAATTCTGTGTATTCTTATGAAACTATTTGCAGGTACTGTCAAATTGGAAATGCAGTTGCTGTTCCTGTTGCACGGGCTTTAGGATATGCCGTAGGAATGGCATGTAGAAAGCTCAGTGGAAATGAGCCACTTATGACCCTCCCACCAAAATTCTCTCTCTCCAATCACCTTCAATTATCAAATAATCAGCTCGGCAACACTGACTAGCATTCATCCTATTCTATTCCACTAATTTAATGATAACCGGCATTGATATTTAAACTTCTTGCTGAGCAATTTTTATTCATGTATCTCTAGTAAACTCCACAGAAACTTCACTTGAGTCGAATACACAATCTCATTCATTTGCACAGCTCCTGTGCTACGAAGTAAACTGCATTTAAGATGTCATATGAGAGGTCATCTTGAGAAGTTCTTGCTTTCTGGGCGCAAGTGAAGACTTTTTTTCCTACCTAATTTCCTTCAAGTGGACACATGAAGTGAGATTTGACATCATTGTCTTCTGTTTTTAATCTATTGAGGTGTAATAAAAAGTTTCATTTACCCTTGGAGGTAGTATTAATTTCTTGTTCTTTTTTATCTTGATTTTTCCTTTCCATTGCGTTTACGGCTGTTCTTGCCTTAGCCATGATAGGGTGGCCTGTGGTAGCCATGGCCATATTGGAGAGCTTTCAAAGTTGGCTAATATGACAGTTATAGGTACATGCAAAGTACTTCAGACCAATGCCCTAATCAGAATGATAGTAAGAAATTAACGAGTATTTAGGCCGACGTAGCCTTTTATAGAGAATAAGGATGCTGTCATCCTTACCCTAAATTACTAGGATGGCCGTTACATGGATTGCACCTGTGCCGCTTGGTCACCTTGGTGTTGGAGAGGGGATTGTCATGTACCTATATCCTATGGACCAGTGTCCCTTGCCATGATTGAAAGGACATTCTAGATTCTAGGACAGATGTCTTCAAGGACAGGTGTCTCCTGTATGTATATCAAGGAGCTGCATTTTTCAACAAAGGAAAGAAACAAATACCAGGTGTTAGGCCAAGAACGCTTGCTCCGAAGTATGCTACAACAAAAACCTTTGGTATGACTTAAAAAAAAGTATTAGAATGGTGTAAATAATTTGTACAAAGGTTCTTTATTATAGAGAATACAAGATTTAGAATACTTGACTTAATGAGCTAAGCTCAATACAACAAATAATAAATAAATAAATAATATTAATATTTACAACATTCCTCCTCAAGCTGAGGAATAGATATTTATCATTCCCAGCTTGTTAGTAAGCTCTTGAAATCTATCTGAAGGAAGTCCTTTTGTCAATGCATCAGCTAATTGACACCCGGTGGGAATGTAGGGTGTGATAATAAACCTGCTATCAAGTTTTTCTTTGATGAAATGGTGGTTGACCTCAATATGTTTAGTCCGATCATGTTGAACCGGATTATGAGCTATACAAATAGCTGACTTATTATCACATAGCAGCTTCATTGGCCCCTCACATTTTATTTTGAGATCATCAAGTATAATTTTCAGCCATAGTAACTCACAAATGCCTTGAGCCATGACTCGAAATTCAGCCTCTGCACTTGATCTGGCAACCACATCTTGTTTCTTACTTCTCCATGTCACCAAGTTACCACAAAGAAACATACAATAACCAGTGGTAGAACGACGGTCCGTCACAGATCCAGCATAATCAGCATCAGTGTAGACTTCTAAAGAGAGATTGCCATCTCGCCGGAATAACAGTCCTTTACCAGGAGTAGCTTTAAGATACTGAAGAATCTCTCCACTGCCTGCATGTGTTTCTCCTTTGGATCATGCATAAACTGACTGACAACGCTAACAGCATAAGTTAAGTTTGGTCTAGTATGGGCCAGATATATCAATTTCCCAACTAGCCATTGATATTGTCCTTTATCAACTGGAGGACTCTCCTCTTCAAAGCCTATCTTGTGATTCTGCTCAATAAGAGTATTAGAGGGTTTACACCCGAGCTTTCTTGCTTCTTTGAGAAGATCCAAAACATATTTCCTTTGACTGATAAAAATTCCTTTGCTTGAATGAGCTACTTCTATCCCTAGAAAATATCTCAGTTTCCCAAGGTCTTTGACTTCGAACTCAGAGGCAAGTTGTGTCTGCAGAATCTGTCTCTCCACAAAATCATCACCTGTGATAATAATATCATCAACATATACAAGGAGCACAGTAAGTTTCCCATTTTGGGAGTGCTTGAAGAAAAGAGTGTGATCTTCTTGACTCTGTCTGTATCCTAAGGTCATCATAACCTTAGTAAACTTTCCAAACCAAGCACGAGGTGACTGCTTCAATCTATACAAGGTCTTTTTTAATCTACAAACTTTATTTTCCCCCTTCACAGAATCAAAACCAGGCGGGATTTCCATGTAGACTTCTTCTTCTAACTCACCATTGAGGAAAACATTTTTCACATTAAATTGATTTATATCCCAATTGTAATGGGCATCAATGGATAACAAGATTCTCACCGTATTCATCTTTGCAACTGGAGCAAAGGTTTCTTCATAATCAATGCCATAGGTTTGAGTGTAACCTTTGGCGACTAATCGAGCCTTGTATCTCTTAAGAGTGCCATCAGAATTATATTTCAGGACAAAAACCCATCTGCATCCTACTACTTTCTTTCTGTTGGGTCTATCAATAACCTCCCATGTTTTATTTTTCTCCAACGCATTCATCTCCTCTTGCATGGCTTGAGCCCAATTCCCATCTTTCAAGGCTTCATGTACTGATTTTGGGATTGCAATAGAATCTAGTGCTGAAACAAAGCTTTTGTGCTACACAGAAAGATTAGAAGAGGAAACAAAGTGGGAGATAGGGTATTGAGTACAAGAGGGACAAGAGGAACAAGTTTTCTTGTGACAAGATCTTTTACCTTTTCTAAGAGCAATGGACAAATCATCAGAATCAACATTAATGGGTAACTCATCAGAAGTATTAACATCATGATCAGAAATATGAGATTCAGGAGAAACAGGAGACTCAGAAGAAACAGGAGATTCAGGACTTACCAGTGGTTCAGATGATTGAGGTTGCTGGTGAGACAGTATGCGTTGTTTCCTCCTCTGATATACCAATTTAGGTGTCAAAATTTTTCGTATCTCAGGTGTATTTGAAGGTTCTGGCACACCAGGAGCAGATACACTAGGTAGAAAGAAGACTGATCCAGGCTCAAAGAAGGAAGGGGACGAGTCTTCTGAAGAACTGTTCTCCCCCTGACGATGAGGACCCAAGAAATAATATTCAGATTCTTGAAAGGTGACATCCATAGAAACAAAAAAATTTCGACTTGGTGGATGATAACACTTGTACCTTTTTTTATAAGGGGTGTAACCAAGGAAGACACACTTAAGAGCCCTAGATCCAAGTTACTCCGATGTTGTTTATGAACATGGACAAAGGCAACACATCCTAACACTCTTGGTGGAAGGCTCTGCAATATGAGAACAGAAGGAAAGAAGGAAGTCATGGAATGAATAAGACTGATATTGTTAAGGACCCGTGAAGGTAAACGGTTGATCAAAAAAGTTGCAGCTAACACTGCTTCTCCCCAATAAGAACTAGGAACAGATGTCTGGAAAAGTAGTGCTCTAGCAACTTCAAGAAGATGACGATTTTTCCTTTCAGCAACCCCGTTTTGTTGAGGGGTATCAACACATGTGAGCTCATGAATCATACCTCTGTCTGGAATGAATTGTGACAGGCGTTGATTGACGTACTCAGTACCATTATCAGATCTGAGTCTTTTAATACCCTTACCAAACTGAGTCTCAACCATGTGATGAAACCGAATAAATATCTCTGGTACTTCAGACTTGTCCTTCATCAAGTATATCCATGTTACCCGAGTACAATCATCAATAAAAGAAACAAACCACCTTGCACCTGAAACACTGTACACTTTAGAAGGGCCCCAAACATCAGAATGGATAAGAGAAAAAGGTTCCCTGCTTTTAATAGTGCTAGAAGGAAATGACACTCGATGGTGTTTTGCAAATTCACAAACATCACAATGAAAGGTCTCAACCGACTTATTGAGAAACAGAGAGGGGAACATAGACTTCAAAAGACTAAATGATGGATGCCCCAGACACTTGTGATGGAGTCAAATCATAGACTCTGCATTAGAAGGATGACGTGTCATTAATAACTGATTTTTGCTAGCATGGTCTGGAAGGAGATGATACAACCCATCCTGTTCATTAGCAACTCCAATTGTCTTCTTCGTGATAAGATCCTGAATAACACAATGAGAAGGAAAAAATGTGACAGAACAATTCAAATCAGTTGTAAGTTTTTGAGTGGAGATAAGATTAGTAGAAAGCTGAGGAACATAAAGAACATTTTTAAGAAACAAGGAAGGTTGAATTTGAATGTTACCAGAACCAATAACTGATTTATGGGATCCATCAGCTACGGATATAGTATGACTACCAACAGTAGGATGATAAGAACAAAACAACTCAGTACGACAAGCCATATGATCAGTTGCACCAGAATCCAAAATCCATGAGGTTTTAAAATCAGTGCAAGAAGCAAGAAGAGATATAGAACGTGTGCTCTTACCAGATAAGATCAAAGAATTATCATGCTCGGCCATTCTTCAATAAAAAAATTTGACAACCAGCGATAAAATCAACCAAACAGAATATCAAATGACCTCCGATCAGAAATATAATCACAGATCCAGATAGAAGACAAGGAGATGAGAAGAATGGTGGTGGTCCGGTCCAAAAACACGGTCGCACACGCCTCCACGCGCCGGAGAAAGGAGCTGTGTGTGGGCTTCACTTGCCGGGAAAGGGGTGGCGCGTGAGAGCGCGTGGAGGGGCTTCTCCGGCTGAGATTTTTCTGGCGTGGTCATCCGGTGAGCGTGCACCTGTCTGTGGGTGGTCGCAGTTGAAAATTCGCTGGAAAGTGGTCCAAACGGTGAAGACAGATCTGATTGGAGGCGGTCCAAGGTGTTTGGGTCGTTTGTGGCGGAGGAACAGTGCGTAGAATGATAGAACGGAGAAAAATAAGGTCAACAATGGTCCCTTTGGTCCAAAAGGTCCCCGGAAATTTTTTTCGGTGGCGGTTGATGGCGGCAAGAGGCAAAGAAATTAGGGTTTTGTTAAAAAAAAGACAATATGCGCGGAAGCAAAGCCCTCAGATCGAGAGCTCTGATACCAACTTGAAAAAGGGTATTCTGATATATTATAGAATTGTGTAAATAATTTGTACAAAGGTTCTCTATTTATAGAGAATACAAGACCTAGAATACTTGACCTAATGGGCTAAGCCCAATACAACAAATAATAAATAAATAAATAATATTAATATTTACA